TCTGATGCTGCTTGGCCTGCTGTGTTCATCCAGCTCTACACCTTGTTATCTCAGATTCTCCAGCATCTGCAGTTCCTACTATCTCTGAGACATATTCACTGACCTGATTGTTGAGGACTCTGTGGATACAAGTCTTAAGACTAAAAAACTGCTGTAGAAGAGCTGTAAATAAATTTTTAATTTCCTCCATCTCATGGGCCCTTATTTCAACAGTCTTACCTTCCACTGTTGGGAATGGTTTCAGGCTGAATGCTGCTCAGCTCTTGTGGTTTCAGAAATGTATTTTTGGAAATAACAAAATTGATCATGTCTACAATAAAAATGAAACGAGTAAAAGACTAAAAGATTGGAATACACATTGCTGAGATTGAAAACTTTGTAGTAGTCTGACAAGAAGGCATCAACATTTTAAGGATTGAAGCTTAAAGTTTGTTGAGGTGTTGCTAATGAAGTTTATTTAAGGCACAAACTAAAATGATGCTTGATCCCAGAACTAGTTGACAATCTAGTCACGGCCAATGGCCTCCTATCAAGTGCATCCCTATCTGTTCACCAAATATTGTTGCTGCCCATGCCCAATCTATCAAATAGCAGTGACCTCACCCCATGGTACCCCACTGTATCCCATTGCTTCTGTGATGATTAAGTAGAGCAAGATCAATGGCTTATAGCAAGTATTGATCCTTTCTGTTCTGCCTTTACTCTGTTAATGATTGATCTTTTTCTTCGGATTTCAGGCAGTGTTCCTTTCTTGTTTAACTTAGTTTTCTGTACAAAACAGTGGTTCCAAATTCTTCAAAGTCTTGGCGGGATACACACATTTGTTGGAAATTGGAAAGACCAGACAAAATGGCTGCTCCTTTCCATGAAAGGTAGTTCCTGTTGGGAGGTGCATGAACCCTCACCTGTTGAAGGAGAGAAAAGAATTTCAGATTAAAAAAAAAAAAATTGGCATCTAGTTAGATCAGAAAGGAATTTGACTGAGTCATGGTTGGTTGTAATTAAAAAATAGTTTGCAATTTATTTCCTTTATGTCATAATTTAATTTGATCTATGCAAATTTTACTAAACAGATCCCATCAGTCTCCATGATAACCAATGGGTTCTCATGGCTACAGCCATCAAATATTCTGTTGTTAGATGCTTCTAAAGTGCACTTGAGCAGCTTTGGAACCACTAGCATGCAAAGTAATATGACAAGTGTATAAAAACAATAACTTTGTTTTCTCATTAAGGTTAGAAATTTCTAAGGTGTCAAATATGAAATAATTGCTGGCAAGAGCAATTATTTCTGAACTAACTGAATAGCTTTCATTTGTTTTGGTAAATATGTTTTTTGATATGAAATATAATTGGCAATACATATAGAGATAATCAAATGCTGTGTAGAGCTAGATTTACTAAGCAAGAGGGAGATAACAAAATATTGCTAAAACAGATATGGTAGAAGTATAAGTATGAATATAAATTGCCTATCCTGGATTGCTTGGAGCCAAATTAACTCAAGAAAGTGCAATAGGTTTGTCATAACTTTCCAATCTTTCTACTGTGATGAAAAGTTTCGACATACTCTATATATTTGAATCATTTATAGAGAGTAGACTTTATAAATGTAACCAATTCCATATGCCCACTATTGTAAAGTTTAAAAAGAAAAGTAGGTTGACAGTCCTTTCATAACAGTGATCTTATCTGGTTTGTCAGAGAACAGGGAACCCTGTACTGGTTTATGAAAGGGAGTGCAAACATTGAGGGCCATTAACTTGTTTTTGGCTCAGGATAATTATGGGTTGATTTTAATTTAAAAACCTGGAGATGGAAAGATTTTTGGGTAGTTAAGAGAATATCTGATTTGAGTCAGAAGTAAGTATTGTTTACCTCACAAATAAAGAGTGAAAAGCATTTCATGGAAAACAGGTACCTCAGTACAAAGGTTCAGTTTGTGCAACTTCAGACTGGAACTGTTTAATTAGAATTCTACAGGTTACTATAACACTGAGAAAGTCCACGCTCTCAATTTGTGAATATTTATTTAAGAAGACTTAACAGTTCACAGGAAGAAACTGGAGAATTGGCTACATCAGAATTAAAGATAGGAAATGAGGGGTACTTCCTCTGTAACATGGTGAGGTTGAGGAATAGACTGAAACGGTTTTGCTAGGTGTTTTAAGATTCTTCTCTAACTGTGCTCAACATAAACAGCTTTGCTTTTATTTTTTGTTTTTGTCCTATGTATAGTAAACTCCTGTTCTGTTGTTAAAGACAATCTGCAGCCATATGTGACCAAGTTACAGTAAATGACCACGATGTTAACTAACAAAAACATATGATCTATCAGGCCAGGTTGGGGTCTGAACTGTCCGTAGTACCATCAGCTGGGACCATACAACTCGATTTAAAAAAAGATGCCAGAATATTGGAGACTGTCAAATACTGACACCTTTATCTTGGCAAGGGTAAGGGCATTTGGACACTCAGTTTAACATCAGTGGTGGGTAAGGTTTTGCAAAAAAAAAGGCTTTCAGAGAGATAAAGAGGAGAACCAACATAAGTTTGTAAAAAGCAGACCATGTTTGAATAAGTGTTTGATGAATTAACAAAAAGTGAGTTTAATAAACTATTTGACAAAATACTGCATAAAGCTGGTTAACAGAATTGAAGCTCTCAAAAGAGCAATGTCAGTGCCAGTGTCAGCTTGAATAAATAAAAGCTTAAGGACGAAACACAGTAAGTCATGCAAGATGGTTGCTTTTCAGATTGGAGGAGGGTAAATAATAAGGTTCTTCAAGGGTCAGGGCTATGGTCATTGATTTATTTGTCATTTATTTTTGATTTAAATAAATTGTTTGGATATTTCAATTGAGTAAAATTTCAAAATTTGTTAATGACATCAAATTTGGAGTGAGGATGATATACCAATCCACTATAAATGGGCATAACCTAAAAGAAAGGACAGTTAGCAGATGGACATATAATTTGTAGACATGTAAGGAAATATATTATTGTAGAAGAGATGAGTAGAGGCAATATAAACTTAATGGCAGAGCTAGAGATTGTGCAAGGACAGAGTCATGTGGATAGATCTTGGAAGGTTGAACGTCATAGTATGAGGGTATCTAGCAAAGCAGGTGGGATTCTGAGTTTCATGAATGGAGTTTGGAATAAGAAAGCAGGGAGGGTCTGGTCACCAGACTTCAGGAAGGGCAGAGGAGAGTTCCTAGAGTAGTTCTGTGATTGAGAAATTTTAGCCACAAAGTCAGGTTGGATATGTTGTTTCTCCTAGGAAAAAATAGGGAAGGAGAGTTGATAAAAATATACAGATTATGTATAACAAAGGTTGCAGGAACAGCAACTCATATTCCGCTTGGGAACCCTGCAGCCCAATGGTATCAATGTGGACTTCACAAGCTTCAAAATCTCCCCTCCCCCTACCGCATCCCAAAACCAGCCCAGCTCGTCCCCACCTCCCTAACCTGTCCTTCCTCCCACCTATCCCCTCCTCCTACCTCAAGCCCCACCCCCATCTCCTACCTACCAACCATCCCGCCCCCTTGACCTGTCCGTCCTCCCTGGACTGACCTATCTCCTCCCTAACCCCCCACCTACGCTCACCTTTACTGGCTCCATCCCCGCCTCTTTGACCTGTCTGTCTCCTCTCCACCTATCTTCTCCTCTGTCCATCTTCTATCCACCTCCCCCTCTCTCCCTATGTATTTCAGAACCTCCTTCCCCTCCCCCATTTCTGAAGAAGGGTCTAGGCCCGAAACGTCAGCTTTCCTGCTCCTCTGATGCTGCTTGGCCTGCTGTGTTCATCCAGCTCTACACCAACCTACCGTCACTATTCCCTTTAGCTAATGTACAAGGACTAAGCAATACAGATTTAAGTGTTTAGATAGTAACCATCGGAAGTTGGACTGACACTCAAATTAAATAAACATGCAGGGAATAGGGCAGGTCAGCGGGGTTGTGTGGATTGGTGTACAGAGAGATAATATGCATTTGGAGGATCGAACAGGTTTCTTTGGTGCCCTAATGAACAATTCCGAAGATATTTTAAGAATTATCGAAGAATGGATTGTGCTTGCTCTGTGAGAGGCACTAGTTCAGTGATGTGAATGACTTTTTTATGCTGTGCTGTAATCTCACTTTGGACGAGCTATAGTGCCTGACCCAGGTTCGAATTTTCAAAGTAAGCAATGGCAGTTCTTCGAGCTTAGAATCCTTACAGTGTGGAAACAGGACCTTTGGCCCAACAAGTCCATGCTGGCCCTCAGAGGATCCCTGAACACTATGGGCAATTTAGCATGCCAATCCACCTAGGCTGCACATCTTTGGATTGTGGGAGGAAACCGGAACACCCAGAGAAGTGCAAACTTCACACAGAGTTGCCTGAGGGCAGAATCGAACCCAGCCCCCTAGTGCTGTGAGGTAGCAGTGCTAACCACTGAGCCACCGTGCCATCCAGTTCTGGCCTGCCCAAAAACACTAACTCATAACATTTGACCCACATTATTAATATTGAGCTAAGAAATGAGGAGACTGTTAAATGCATGGCTGGAGAGAGGAAAAAATGAGGAGTATGTGGAAACTTCAGTTAATGAGACAGCCATTTAGCCATTTTAGCAAGTGCTTGCTCTACAACAAAGAAATGATTGGGTAGGGTTGATTGGATAAAGGAAAAGGATTGTTCAATTCACATGGGCTTTTTTAATATTAACATTTTGTTTGACTTGATAAATTTACACTATAAAATTTTACAAACAAGTGACCTCCACTGGAACTAATGTAAATGACTGGTATCTACAGGAGATGGTTAGGATGTGATCAAATAGCCTAAAGTCACTTGATATCTAGGCAGATACTGAACAAATGAAAATGTAGCTGAGAATGTAGGGGTGTTACAGTCAAAGAATCATATCCCATTAAGAGTCTAGACCTTCTGGAGAAGATTGTAGAAAATATGGAAAAATACCTTTATCCCTGTTTTTACAAGGTTTGACATCTCCTGTTGTAATCGTTCTTCCAAATTCTTAAACATACTGTTACCACCAGCTAGTACAATGTTGGCATACAAATCATTGCGGATCTCCTCACTGCATCTCTCAATCACTGAATGTGTCAATGTAGGCAGGTTCTGTATGTCTTTGCCTGAAATAAAGTGATATCATTTCATGACATACATACATTGCACCAAAGCAAAACTTTTCTTTTAAAAAAACTGCTACTTCACCCCACACCATCTGTGTTATTTCCGCATCCGTTTTTGAATTCAGTTGTAATTAGATAATTCTGAAAAATCATGTTTAGAGGTGAAATACAAATGGAAATGAAAAGAAATACCATTCAAATTGTATAACCACTAGGTTAATTATCAGTTGAACAGTGTACAGTCAGTAGACAGATGTCATGAAGGAGATATTTTGCACTGAAACATTGTTCTACTGTCTATGAGCAGGGAAAGATGATTAGAGTATGGTCAAATGTCTCGAACCGTTACCTATTAAAAATGGCTTATAGATGACTTCAGGGCAGATGAATTTCTGATTTGTGATAATCATATTTTGTCCATCTGGAAGCACGTACTCCTCCTTTATTTCTTCTGGATTATTCTTGAAGTTCTTGAGTTCTGCTTCAAAATTAAGGGCAACGTAACAAAATTTCTCCTTGATGTTTCTGATAATATCCAACCCAGCTGGAAATTGACACAAAATACAATTCAATATGTACAGAGTGGATCATTTAAATTATTGTTAGTGCATTTTGAGATTTCCCAGATCAATAAAATACTTTGGAAGTCAGGTTACTGGATTGTATTTTAACATTAACTTGCTGCAAGGGAATTGCATCAGGCTGTTAATACCTAGAACAAGTAGGAGCATATCACACCTTGTTAGCCTGTCTTGCTCTGTTGTATATTGCATCTTTACCATGAGCCATTAGAAGTTGAGTTTTAGCTGGTATACTCTCGACGTTGATAATTGAGATCCCATTATTTAATACTAGATCAAACCGTATCTGATAAAGTCAGGTGGGAGGACTGTCAGGAACAAAAAAATCACAGGCACTGACAGATTATACAAATTGTCTTGCTTCTGCATGCAAAATGCAATGTAATATAAGAAACTTTAAATGGAACACACTGTCCTTTGCTGAATTAACATGTTCACCTATGCCTCTGTGCTTCTCCTCCAGTCTGTGCTTTTTAAGAAGCAGAATAACAAATGAACATCAAAAGAAGAAATGCTTCTATATCAGTGATCCTTTTCATATTGCAGTAGAGCTGCTATTCTTCAGCTTCGCATTTGATCAGGCCTGGCATTGGATACACATCAATTAATGAATGAGGGTGATGTTTGGTGTTAACTAATGAACAATTATGTATTAAAATATCATGGCAATTGGTACAAAGGCAATTAAAGATAACAAAGAGGCACACTGAAACTTTTAGCTACATTGACCTTGCCTTTTTAAAATCATAGTTATATTTTTCTATGGGCTGGATTTTTTGGAGGAGTGGTAATATTCAGATTTCCATTTGCTTCTATAATTTATAGAGTTGTAGAGTCATACAGCATGGAAACAGACCCTTCGGTCCAACTCATCCATGTCGACTAGGTTTCCAAAATTAAATAGTCCCAATTACTGTATTTGGCTCATATCCCTCTAAGCGTTCCACATTCATGTACCTGTCCAAATGTCTTTTAAAACGTTATAAATGGTCTGCATCTACCACCTCCTCTTGCAGTTCATTTCATATACGCACCACACGCTGTATGACAAAGTTGACCCTCAATTCCTTTTTAAATGTTTCCCCTCTCACCTTTAATCTATGCCTTCTAGTTTTGAACTCCCCGCTCCTAGGGAAAAGATCTTTGCTGTTCACTTTATCTATGCCCCTTGTGATTTTAATAAACCTCCAGAGGTCACCCCTCAACTTCGTATGCTCCAAGGAATAAAGTCTCAGCCTATTCAGCCTCTCCTTGTCAATCAAATCCTCCAGTCACAGTAACATCCTTGTAATCCTTCCTATAGCTGGGCGACCAAAACTGTCTATATGCAGTATTCCAAATGAAATCTTGTGGAATTGTAGAATTCAGATGGTTCTGTTGCAGTCAAGTAAAAATTACACAGGAAAAGTCAGAGTGTTAAATACCTAATCTAAAGCCTGAGTAGCCATTAAACTGATTTCCATACTAACTTACAGATCCCCCGCTACATCTCCCCAGAAGCTTTAAACTTCACAGATCCTGACCCAATATCCACCTCCACCCCATGGTCCCAAAAGCCAGCCAACAGACCCAACATCCCTCCTTTGTTCTGAACGAGACTCACCCTAACTCCAACCTGAACAGGGGGAACTGCATGTCCCAACTTGACCCCATTGCTCAACCACTAGTCCAAACGCTCTAGCCTGCCTCAGGACCAATTTAACCTCTAAACTGCAAAGCCTCTGTTCATGCCAATTTGGGTGCTGACACATTGGGTTCCATATGGACCTCAGAGGTCTGTGGAACAGGAAAAAAAATTCAGGGGGATCACTGCACAGGAACCAGTGCCCTGGGACCTGACATTCCACATCCAGTGGCATCCAAAGCCTGATATCTCCTGCTTTCTCCCACCTACCCTAAACGCTGCACAATTTAACTAGCCACCATGCACCTAGCATCCTACTTACCTGGCACCTAACTCCCTGAAACCCTATCCTGACCCACTTGGAACCCTACCCACCTAGCATCCTACTTACTTGACATCCTATGCACCAGCCACCCTAACCCGCACTTCCCCTACATACTTACCCTTTCATAGGAGCTGTCAAAGTGGCTGACAGCAGTGCTGGGACCTTTAAGTCATAGATTATGCAACTGACGTAAAAAGGAAGCATGGTTTGCTTTCCCTTGATTGTTGTGCACTACGAAGGGCCTGTCAGAAAGTAAGTACAGTCTTGCATTTCTTAAGGAACCTTGACTGGAATCTCATGTCAGAAATACAAATTTTTTTTATTGTGCAAAAAAGGGATGAAGTAGCAAATCACTTGGTTTCTACTCCTTGGAAAATATGACTCAATCTTCCTACATTGAGTGGTACCCTCAGTCGATGTTGGTATGTTGTGAATATTACCTTTGGAAGTGAAGGACCAGCTATTATTTTCAGCCAGTGATCTCATCATGTATTCTGTCAAGTCCTCTCCTCCCAGGTGTACACGCTGCGTGATGTTTTCCAAAGCATCTCCTTCAATAATGGGAACTACATGTGTCACAGTTGATCCTGCAAGCAGTAAAATTAGGAAATAAATTCACTTTATTAAACAATTGATAATTTGGTATAGGAACAGAGTAGTAGCATCAACTACAAATGTTAACAGTTCACAGACCTGCTGCATTGTTTTAACAAAATCCTCTCTCAAAATGCAAAAGTATCTTTACCTTTTGTGGGATGGTTTATGATGGACTAACTAAGTAAATTTTGAAATCTTGAAGCAAATTATCAACAGGAGAGTTAAATACTTTGATGAAATGTCATCTTTCTCAGCCATCCTACTTTGTGATCAGCTCAAATCCACTCTGCAAAAAATTGTGAGACTGTCTCCCGCAGTACAGAGGTCACCAGCCTCGAAAATATAATGGATATTTTTGGAAATAATTCCGAGATCAATTGCAAAGATGATGTTACCTGAATCAATAACAGTTCCTGTGACTTTACCAGTGGAGTGTAGTGCCAGCACTGCCTGGATCCCCAGAAATAAAGAGGGAACTTGAAATGCTTCAAAAAGAATCTATATTGAACAAAACAAATGCAACAGAACGTTAGTTGCAAACTTTGGATGAAATACACTCCAAATCATTACAGTGCTTCTAACTTGCCAGTTTAGAGTTTTCACTTTTTATGTGGAATATTATCGTGTGTATCTGAGAGATAGGAGTTGGGTACATTTATGAATTAATTGTGGAGAAGGTAGATATACCTGTGACTTTTAGGAAGAGTCATAAATATTTACCTACAAAGGATAAGAACAGAAAGCCAGTCTTTCTGATGCTGTCCTTTGTTTGGTATACATTCATTCATTTTGTATGCAGGAATAGAAACTGATATGTCAAGCCTACAGGTACAGCATTGTAGCATATTGGTTGAGTAACTGGACTAGTGATCTGGAACCATGATTTAAAATCCTGGTACTGTAGCTTGGAAATTGAAATTGGGTTAATTAAATAAAGCTGGAGTAAGAAGTTAGTATCATCAACTGATTATAAAACTGTCAGATTGTTGTAAAAACTCATCTAGATCACTTTTTCACTTTTATGGAATGGAATTTGCCATCCTTACACGGTTTGGCCTACATGCAACTCCAGAGCCACAGAAATGTGGGTTGAGGAAATAAATAGCAACATCTTGAAAAATGTCCATATTACAGAGGAGGAGGTGCTGAGTGTCTTAAAACACATAAGGGTAGATAAATCCCTGGGACCTGATCAGGTGTATCCTAGAACTCTGTGGGAAGCTAAGGAAGTGATTGCTGGGCCTCTTGTTGAGATGACTGTATCATTGATAGTCACAGGTGAGGTGCCAGAAGACTGGAGGTTGGCAAACATGGTGCCACTATTTAGGAAAGGTGGTAAGAAAAAGTCAGGGAACTATAGACTGGTGAGCCTGACTTCAGTGGTGGGCAAGTTGTTGGAGGGAATCCTGGTGACAGGATTTATATGTATTTGGAAAGGCAAGAACTGATTAGGGATAGTCAATATGGCTTTGTGCATGGGAAATTGTATCTCACTAATTTGATTGAATTTTTGAAGAAGTAACAGAGAGGATTGATGAGGGCAGAGTGGTATACGTGATCTATATGGACTTCAGTATGGTGTTTGACAAGGTTCCTTATGGTAGATTGGTTAGCAAGGTTAGATCATCTGGAATACAGGGAGAACTAGCCATTTGGATACAGAACTCGCTCAAAGTCAGAAGACAGAGCCTGGTGTTAGAGGGTTGCTTTTCAGACTGGATGCCTGTGACCAGCAGTGTGCCACAGGGTTGGTGCTGGGTTCACTGTTTTTCGTCATTTATGTAAATGATTTGGGTGTGAACATAGGAAGTGTCGTTAGTAAGTGTGCTGACGACACCAAAATTGGAAGTGTTGTGGACAGCAAAGAAGGTTACCTCAGAGAACAATGGGACCTTGATCAGATAGGCCAATGGGCTGAGGAGTTGCAGATAGAGTGTAATCTAGATAAAAGTGAGGTGCTGCATTTTGGAAAGGCAGATCAGGGCAGGAATAATACACTTAATGGTAAGGTCTTGAGGAGTATTGCTGAACAAAGGGACCTTGGAGTTCAGGTTCATAGTTCCTTGAAAATGGAGTTGCAGGTAGACAGGATAGTGAAGAAGGCGTTTGGTACGCTTGCCTTTATTGTTCAGTGCATTGAGTATAGGAGTTGGGAGGTCATGTTGCAGCTGTACAGGACTTTGGTTTGGCCACTTTTGAAATACTGTGTTCAATTCTGGTCTCTCTGCTATATGAAGGATGTTGTGAAACTTGAAAGAGTGCAGAAAAGGTTCACAAGGATGTTGCCAGGGTTGGAGGGTTTGAGCTATAGGGAGAGGCTGAATAGGCTGGGGCTATTTTCCCTGGAGTGTCAAAGGCTGAGGGGGGACCTTACAGACATTTATAAAATCATGAGGAGCATGGATAGGCTGAATAGCCAAGGTCTTTTTCCTGGGTGGGGGTGTCCAAAACTGGAGGACATAGGATTAAGGTGAGAGAGGAAAGATTTAAAAGTGACATAAGGGGCAACATTTTCACGCAGAGGGTGTTGTGTGTATAGAATGAGCTGCTAGAGGAAGTGGTGGAGGCTGGAACAATTACAACATTTAAAATGCATCTGGATGAGTATATGAATAGGAAGAGTTTAGGGGGATATGGGCCAAATGCTTGCTAATGGGACTAGATTAATTTAGGATATCTGGTCAGCATGGACGAGTTGGACCAAAGCATCTGTTTACATGCTGTACATCTCTATGACTTCTGAAATGGTATATCAAGCCACTTATTTATGAAGATCTCGCCATCACCTCAATGTCAATTATGGGTAATAAATGATTTGCCTGCAATGTTTACATCACGAGTGGATTAAACATTACATGAAGGAGGCACAACAGGTTATGATGATCTGACCAATTCATACAAAGGAACATAAAAAAGGAGCAAAAACCATAGCAGATAAAATTTTAGTGGGGAAATGTGAGATCATCAACTTTGAATATTTTCTTAACAGTGAGGAAACCGGGACCTGTAAAGGAGCAAGAAATTTAGGCATTCTTGTACAGAAGTCACTAATGGTTAATGCTCAAATGTAAAAGGTAATCAAAAAGGCTAATAGAATGTTGGTCTTTGACTCAAGGCCGCTGGAAGTAAGAAGTAAGAAAATGATGCTTCAGTTATACACAGCTTTGGCCAGAATCTAGCTGAATTGTGTTGAGTACCAAGCTTCAGAAGGGGTACGCTACCAATTCACTGGAATGAGATTAGGATTTAATTTATGGATGAAGGCTGTATAAACAAGCTGATATGTACTTGAGTTTAAAAAATGAAGGGTGACCTAATTAAAGAGCTTAAAATTACGAATGGATTTGAAAGCGCAGTCACAGAGAAACTTTGGTAGAGTTTGTTATGAGTTTATTACCTCAGTTGTTTTCTCCCTGTTTTGCTGGGGATTATTTGGTGGTTCTGTCATAACAATTGGATGCTCCTGAATGTCAACACGCAATTCATTTTCAAACGCATGCCTCCAGAGCACTTCCATTTCTGTCCAGTTTGCAATCAGTCCATGCTGAATTGGATACTACAATCAAACACAACTTAATCAATATCTGAATAGGCACCTACTAATCAGCCCACGAATAAGATTCTCCACAGCAGCTATTCACTCCTTGAATTGATTGTATTTTTTGATGTACAGATTTCAGTATTTTTGTTGAACTTTTGCTAGATAAACATCAGGGTTGGGAAATCAAACCTTCGTTATTTTCATCCAGTAGCAAACATTCTCTGAAAGAAATACAGCTATCTTTATTCTTTCTGAATATTTCATGTTAACCTGAGCCAAAAGCCTGAACTTACCTTCCCATTGCAGTCAAAGCATCCTTGTTGAGTGACACTAACAATTTGCCAAATTAAGTGGATAGAGTGTTAATTGAAGAAATAGCACAATCCACAGCGCGGAGATGGGCAGACTAAGGCGGAATGGTGATAAAAGGTTATTCCAGTATTGGCACATAAGCATTTTACTTACAACCAAATGAAGAATAGTACGTTTTCTTTGGGCTTCTTCTCCAACATAAGTGCACCTTTCTGATAATCCAAAAACATTCAATGTTGTGTTCTTTGGTCTTCCTACCACACTTGGAAAAACATGCGTTGGTGAATGATTTTCTGAGAGTCCAGCTTTTATCAGCCCACTGCCATTATCAATTACAACTGGAGGATACAGGTCACTAGGTAGGCTGGAAGAAGAGTTGGTCACCCCAAAAACTGAACAATCTGGAAAGAATTTAAATGAAGAAATAAGTATGGCAAAACATAGTTATGACTGCTGAAAAATGACATGGGTCTAGCCTAACAGCACACCCAACCCAAGTAAAATCTATCTAAAGCTTAAAAATTCAATCACAGTGAGCCTGTTGTGCCTCAGTAGTAGAAAGTTAGATGCGAGTATGAATGCACAATATGTAAAAGAGATTGCCTTGGTCTAAAGAGAGGATAAACAATTAGCAACCTTCAGCAACCTACATTAGTAAATGTTATGATCTCCATGTGATTGGAGAAATTTCAACTTATAGTTAATAGCTTGAAGCAAGCCACATTAAAATATCACGTTTTGCTGTAACAAATGGCTGAAGTAAAACACTATTGACTAAACACGTATTTAGGCAACCTATGCTTTAAACTACTGAAAAGAGTACTTTTAAGTATCATCAAAATTTTTCTTCTACAGTTACATGTTACTCCATCTCTTAAGTGGACTATTCATTCTCCAGAGACTACTGTAATTATTCTCAGTGACTCACTTTCTATTTTTTTCCTTAGCGGAGTAATTTATAATCCCTGAACTGACTTCTGGCTGCAGTTCTGTAAGTTCTTTAGAAGAGTTACTGGACCTGAAATGCTAGGTCTGCTTTCTCTCTACAGATGCTGCCAGACTGCTGTGTTTTTCCAGCAATTTCTGTTTCTGTCCATGATATTCCTGGATTTGTAAGGAAGCCTATAAGCTGATGCCAAAATTGGTTTCTCCTACCATCTTCCTCAAGACAATGTGAAGCACACTAGCCTTGTATCTGGGTAGAATTATTAATTATCTATACTTGATCCCAACTCACTTTCATCTTAGAAGAGATAGTTTACAGCAAAGGTGTTTATAACTAGATATTTTACAACACCTTTGTGGGACTTTGGGAGACTCGATATATACTCATGACATGCTCAGAGAACTGTCTTTTTTGCCAAGGGTAAATACCTTGCAGCTTCCACTCAATAAAACAATACAGCTGTTCCTTTGTTCCCTAACAAGAAAACCACTTTACTGTCTGGCAGACTGCAGAAAATATTACACGATCCCCTTAATTTACCTTCAATTTAAAACTAAAGTCCCAAAATATAATTATGTGTTAAACCTCACAATGGTATCAAATGAAAATCAGTTGAGACCAACATTAGGATGATTAAGTTGTGATCATTGATATCCTGGCAGCAATCACTGTGCTTATATAGGAAAATGAGCCATTTTAGTGAGGCACAGGAAAGCACCAGATAAATGAAAGGATGTCCAGTGAGAACTGTAGTGATTGTAACGAGGTCATGTAGGTGGATGTCATGGAATATGAGATCCCTGATTGGGGCTGTTGACCTGGTCCAATCAGGGAGCTCTGGCTGACAGATGTAGACAGCAGTGTCAGAGGTTATATTCACTTTGAGAGCTGGCTTTGAGGAAGCTGGACCAGTGTCAGGTATTAAGCATGTGTAAAAATTGGTGGCGGGATACCTGCCTCTGTGGAGCTATTCAAGAGTGAGCAGCTGCAGTAGATGATGGAGAAATGAAGAAAACTACAGGCAATGGCACCTGATGAGATGTTATATAAATGAACATATTTCTTACCATCATGTCTCATAAGCAGGTCTCTCTCACAATGTAGCATTAGGTTATGGAAATTAACATTTTGTGTCTTGGTTGCTTCTGGCTGTGTTGGATCATTTACATCATCCTTAACACTCACATTGACCTTGCTGATAGTCTGGCCCTGATCCTCAGGAACCAAGTCGAGATTGTCTTTCGAAACACACAGCTGCTCTCCCAAATTCCTTTCATTACTCCTGTTGTTTCTCTCCACAGTAATTGAACTGTTTGAATCTAAAATTAAAGAATTTAATGAGACTCTTAACAAGAGACTTCTTAAAATTAATTCCCAGGATGTTAGCTTGCTTCATCAAACTGATATTCCATTTTTAGATGTGTCTGGTATTATTCCTGGTATTACTACATGCCCTCCTGCCATTGTAGTACCAGAGTTAATCCCACCCCCACCTCTCCCCTCCCCAGCTCGATGGTAATGGTAGCATCGGGGAGATGCTTCATCATATGCTTACAGAAACTGGTTGATTCTGCTGCTGTCCCATAGAACATCTCTGATGCCCAGCTCTGAGTTGCTATATCTGCTTGAAAACTATCCAATTTAGCATGGTAGTAGTGCCATGTAATACCAAAGAAGGATATCCTCATTTGAAGATGGATACTTTGTACTGCTGAGGGTGAGGTCAAGTAGATTTTTCGATTTTGTTAGATCATTCATCACCAGAGATAAATCCAATCCTTCAAGACTCTAAAACGAAAACAGAAATTGCTGGAAAAGCTCAGCAAGTCTGGTAGCATCTGTGGAGAGAAGTCAGGGATAACATTTCGGGTCGAGTGATCCTTCCTCAGACTTTAACCACTTGGTCAGTGACCAAGTCACTTGGGGTGATAGATATTGAAGTCCTCCACACAAAGTATATTTTGTGCCCTTTCCACCATCAGTGCTTCTTTCAAGTGGTGTTCAACATGGAGGCGTACTGCTTTATCAGTTGGGGGGCTGGTGTATGGGAGTAAGTGATCATCGTCAAGGTGCCCCTGATTGACCTGTTGGCATGAGAATTCTTAATGTGTGCAGTCAATGATAAATACTCCAAGGGTAACTCCAAACTGACTGTATACCGCTAGTGGGTCAGTCAAGAGGGGATGGTAGTGTCTGGCACATAGTCATACTCATGGAATCATATTTGGCAATGTGAGGTTGTTGTTTGACCAGCTTATGAGGCAACTCTTCCAATTTTGATAAAAAGTCCCCAGATGTTAGTAAAGAGGACTTTGCAGTGTTGACAGGGCTGGGTATGCCATTGTCATTTCCAACACCTAGGTCCATCTAGATTCATTCCTTTCAGACATTTCTCTAGTGTTTTTGATAAAACTGATTGGCTTAGTAGGCCCTTTCAAAGGGCATTTGATAGTTAACCACATAATACATCAAAGATGCCAGCCATAAACGCCTTGATTCAGACTCTTTATAGTCCAATGCTGAATAAATGGATCAAAAACTCAACCATTGCCAACCAAACTCTTGTCTTCAGCGTTTTATCATTGAAGCTGCCAACCTCACCTCAATTGCTGAACTGATGAATCATCATATGTTAATTACTGCTTTTTTTAATGATAAGAAGTCTTCAAAATAAGATGTGTAATTTGAATATTCTTTCAATAATCCTTGGGATGCTGAGTAAGCAGATTGATGTAATGTGATCCATGCTCATGGTCCTAATGTACTTGGTTCATCCTAAATCATCCCCCTCTTGGCTGTTGAAGAAATCTCTCTAAATTACATATTTAAGTTAATAGTAAACAGTGACGCTGAATTGTATGGACAATTAGAGTTACCTTGTGTCTGTTCATGAATGGGGAAGAGGGGAAAAACAGTTAATTCCACTTCTGTCACATTACTTTCACCCACAACATTTTACAAATTGTCTATTAAATTTACTGCCATAATTTTTTATTTTGGACAAACTATCCAATTGTTTACCAGTGGTACTTAGACATTCTCTCTAAATCATCATCCAGTAACCCCCTTCTGAACTTTATTAATGAACACTAAGTGTGAACAGGCTGACACTCAACTTCTTATGATTATCTTGGCAATACATATTGTACAGATTGCTTGGCAATTGTTGAGGTTGACCTCTACTCCAAAAGAGGAGGCAGAACAAATAAAAATCTTATATTTTAATATAAAATAGTACCATTTCCTGCATATTTAAAATTAACACCTACAAATAGGCAAATGTTAATGCCTTTGCACCATTTCTCATTTTGTTCATGTTCCTGGAAAGCAATGAATGATATCTGTGTTTATAATATTAAGTCCAGCTTCCTTTAAATTAATAGAAAAAACTGCATCTGTAATTTTGCTGCAGGACAAGTGAGCTGGATTTAGCAGATAAATACCTTGTCAGGTCGAAAGCAAAAGGCAAGGGATGCAGGTTAAATTGTGTGTTTAATTCTGCAGGTGATGAATATTCATTGAAGCATCATTAAACAACAGATCAACATCTTAAAAATTAACAGAAAAATGACTATCCCATTTGCCTTCTAGACATTTCTGGGTAGTAGAAATCTCAAGTCCAAAATTATGGGGGTAGCAACTATAATGTCATTCTTTATTCATTCTTCATTCTCAACTTCTATATCATTCAAAAGACTTGTATTCTGTTATTTAGTAAAAGTTTATGAATAAGGTGAATCTTCTTATGAACAAGATCACAACATCTTTAACTTTGACAATCCTCATTTCTTTCTATCTAGTTCTAAATCCTAGACTTTAGCTGTCACTTAAATTTGACACTTTGGTACAGATTGAACTTCTGACTTGTGAAATCATGGATGTGGAGTACTTTGAAAATTAACTTTTTTATTGTTAATTTTCACTACAATATGAACAAAAGAAAAAGGAAACAAATCATTCAGATACTCAGAATTACAGAAAATGCAATAACGCTGGAGGTGTGACACTTTCAAACGTTTTATATCTTATCCTACATTCAGACTGTAGAAGCAATGTGATTCTTTGTTGAAATGGTTGTGATTTGTTAAAACACCCGTAATCAGGAGGAACAGACTGCAAACATGAGGATTTTTTTTAGTAGAGTTAAATTGAATATTACAGAAAACCATATTTATTCCTGATTATCCGGGGACATAGATCACAACTGCAATGTTTCTATGATTTGAAAATTGTTTCATTACAGCAGTATTTGTATGGATTTTCATTCCATCTTACCACTGTGTTTCCATAAAGGAGTTTATACATGACCAAGCAACACTTATATTTTGAAACATGGAAATACTTATGAGTTATGAAAAAAATATTTAAATGCACTTTTCTTTGTATATGCATTTCTGCATTATTTCCTCCAGATTCCTTTATGAAAATATTTCTGACTGGCAATTTGGTCAACAGCACAGACAAATATACTTCACTTCTTTGAAAACAAAAACTGCTGGAAATCACAGCAGGTCAGGCGGTGTCCATGGAGAGAGAGCAAGCTAACGTTTCTCTCCACGGATGCTGCCTGACCCACTGTGATTTCCAGCATTTTTTGTTTTCAGCATGGACTCCAGTTTCTGCAGTAATTTGCTCCTATATTTCACTTTATCTTAGCTCTCACCTAATTTCCCATTTTGTTGGTCATTAACAGTCCACTTCATAAAATTGAAAACTCCAGTTAAATCATCTCCACATTTTCTTCCCAGAGACAGTAGATACATTTAAAATAGTGTCTTATCATTTCCTTAAAACATTCAAGAGTTTTACAACCAATTCAAAATACAGTCATAAATGTTAAATAAGCAACTGTAGCAGAAAGTTTGCATTCAGCCAGGGCACACAACAACAAATGATCCAGAAACCTATTTTAGTTGATGTGGATTGAGGGAATGATGCTGACCAAGACATCAACTCTTTGAATAGTGTCTTTTGCAAGCACATGTAACATCTTTGTTTGTTGTTTTGTCAAAAAGGTAGCACTTTGAATAATGCAACATTTCCATAGTAATGCAATGAAACATGTTCTTAGAATGACTTAATTCAGTACAATTATAACTCCCATCACATATCACAGAACATACAAAGCTCAGCACTTCAATTCATTAGGAAACAGCTTCCCTGAATTTTATGGGTGAATGGCCAACCACTATAGGTCTGGGTAATACAGAATAGGAAGATTCTGTTACATCCCAAGCCTATATTGGCAGCCAAAGGTAAAAGGCAAAGATGACCCTAGTAATTATTATGTCAGAGAGGAGAGACTAGCTGAGATGTTGCTCTCGAAAGAAGACTATTCTCCAAAGATCCTTGAAGGTGCAGGGCAGGTAGATAAGGTAGTTAAGAAGGAATATGGGATACTTGGCTTTATTAGTCAAGACACTGAATACAAGAACAAGGAGGTTATGATGGAGCTGTACATAATGTTAATTAGGCCACAGTTGGAGTACTGTTTGCCTTTCTGGTCACCACATTATAGAAAGGATGTGACTGCACTAGAGGGTGCAGAAGAGATTCACCAGGATGTTAGCTGGGCTGGAGTGATTCAGCCATGCAGACAGGCTACATAGGCTGTGTTGTTTTCTCTACAGCAGAGAAGGACAAGAGGTGATCTGATTGAGGTGTACAAAGTTCTGAAGGAGATATACAGGGTAGATAGGGACATTTGTTTCCCTTTGTATGGGGGAGGGGGTCAATAATCAGCAGACATAATTTTAAGGCAAGGAGGAAGTTTTAGAGGGATTTGAGGATTTATTTTCACCCCAGGGTTGTGGGTTTCTAGAAGTCTACCTAAAAGGGTGGTAGAGGTGGGAACCCTCAAGGGAGTTAAGAAGTATTTATACCAACACTTGAAACTCAAAATAGCATACAAGGCCAAGTGCTGGAAAATGGAATTTACGTAGATAGATCTTTGATGGCTACCATAGACACAATGGGCCGAAGAGCTTCTTTCCGTGTTGATAAAAACTTGGAACCTGCTCGTAATTTTTACGAGATTCGGTGACACATTCGAAGTTCAACAGTTAGGAAACCACTTACGTGGGTTATGCTAGAGCCCGGGAGACCAATTGCTCACAGTTTATTGACTATTCTCAAAAGGTAACATATAGTGTTCCCTATGACTGAATCACTTTGTCAAGTTGTTGTAACCAGTTGTTTAAGGAACTGATGAACTTCTTATGGAGCAACCTCAGATCTAAAATAAGCAGTATTTTTGACATTACTGTAGGTACTTGCCTTTAGAATCTGCAGTTCTCTGGTTTATGTGTGACCAGGATTGGCACACTATCTCCCCGGTCTCCTGGTCTGCTGTTTCGCAGCCTGAGACCAAACTCGAGTGTTCTTTCGGGAGCCGGTTGTGGTCGGCAGGATCCGAGCAGTTGGCATCAGTGAGCGTGTTGTGGGTGGGTGGTTGTGGCCGGGGATCTCCAGGCGGCGAAGCGACTGCTGTTGTCTTTACACTCGAGGCACAGCCCATAGCGAGCGACCCTTTCCACCCTGCCCGGGATTCACGTCTAGATGATGGGAAGTTTTTGTTTCCTCGTCCCCGGGGCCTTAAGTTGAAGCATCAATGCGCTGCCAATGATCCCACTGTACATCTCCAACAAGGAGGAAGAGAGTTTCAGTTTACATTGCAGAGGCTTGGCGTTGCTAAGCTACTTCGTATTAACATTGGCTATTGTGGAGCATTGTATTCAAGTCAAGAAGCATTTAAAGGGACAGTGCTTATTAGTAACAGCTTGTATCACTGCCTTTTGCACAAAAATACATCCATGAAGGGATATATTACAACGAAATAATTTTAAATAATCATGGTTCATTTAACTTTATTCTGAAAAACTGAATTTAAAACTCCAAATATCAACAATTGCACAAAAAACCGGAAAAACATCAACCAACATCCCATCTCACATAACGCAAATACTTTTATATCGAACACTAACACTGCAATATCTGCACACTTAAATAGGTGCCTCAACTTAATTCAATATGTTAACGAAAGGCAGCAGTCTACGGGAATTACTTGTAGGAAAATAAATTTTGAAGAGGTCACAAAAATAAGTAGGTTAAATGAGGGGGCGAAGATGTGGCAAATGGAGTGTGATGCGAGAAACTGTGAAACTGTTCATTTTGCAGGAAGAATAAAAAACAAAGCATATTTTTTAAATGGTAAGAGATTACAGAGCTCTGAGCTGTAGTAGGATCGGGTGTCTGTGCATGAATTGAAAAAGGTTTGTATGCGGGTACAGTAGAATACAATCAAGTATGGAGGTTATGCTTAAAGTACACGGGGCTCTGATGAGGCCACATTTCCAAACTGTACACTACACTGGTCACCTTATTTATGGAAGGGTCTAAAAGCCTGTGAGACAGTTCATTGAAGGTTTATTAGACTCATCCCAGATAAGTAATGGTTGCCTTATGAGGAAAGGTTGCGCAGTCTAGGATTGTATCTGCTGTTGTTTCGAAGAGTAGGGGTGACTTGGTTGAAACACTTGAAGGTTTTTGACTGAATAGAAGTAGAGAGAAGGTTTCTTCTTATGGAATAATCTGGAACTCCCATTGCTTTTCATCATTTATATAAATGATTTGGATGTGGTAAGTTTGCAGATGACACTAAAATTTGACATGTAGTGGACAGTGAAGAAGGTTACCTCAGAGTACAATAGGATCTTGATCAGATGGACCAATGGGTCAAGGAGTGGCAGATGGAGTTTAATCTAGATAAATGTGAGGTGCTGCATTTTGGAAAGGCAAATCAAGGCAGGTCTTATATGCTTAATGGTAAGGTCCTGGGGAACCTTTGTTGCTGAACAAAGAGACATTAGAATGCAGATCCATAGTTCCATGAAAGTGGAGTTGCGGGAAGGTAGGTTAGTGAGGAAGGCGTTTGGAATGCTTGCCTTTATTGGTCAGTGCATTGAGTGTAGGAGTTGAGGGGTCATGTTGTGGCTGTACAGGACTTTGGTTAGGCCACTTTTGGAATACTGCGTGCAATTTTGGTCTCCCTGCCTTAGAAAAATAAAACAAAGAACTGCGGATGCTGGAGACCTGAAATAAAAGCAGAAATTGCTGAAGAAGCTCAGTAGGTCCAGAGCAACTGTAGGAAGAAAGCAAAGTTAACATTTTGAGTCGGGTAAAAAATCACTGCTGTTACTCAAGTTAAATATTTAATGGTGAACTGTAAAACTTGAAAGGGTTTAGAGAAGATTTACATGGATGTTGCCAGCGTTGGAGGGTTGAGCTATAGGGAGAAGCTGACTAAGTTGGGGTTATTTTCCTTGGAGTGTCGGAGGCTGAGGGGTGACCTTGTAGAGGTTTATGAAATCATGAGATGCATGGATAGGGTAAATATCCAAGATCTTTTCCCCGGGGTGGGAGAGTCCAAAACTAAAGGGCAAACATTTAAGCGGAAAGATTTAAAAGGGCAGCTGCCAGAGGAAGTGATGGAGGCCAGCCCAATTACAACATTTAAAAGGCATATGAATATGAAGGGTTTAGAGGGATATGGGCTAAATGCTGGCAAATGGGATTAGATTTATTTAGGGTATCTGGTTAGCATGGACGAGTTAGACTGAAGGGTCTGTTTCCGTGCTGTACATCTCATGAATCTACAACTAGGAATCACTGTTTAAAAATCAGATGTTGCCCATTTGGACAGAGATTAAGGGAATATCTTTCTCTCAGGATGTCATGAGTCTTTGGAACTCTTTCCTGAAAAGATGGGTGGAAATAGAGTCTACAAATATTTTATAACAAAAACTGTTAAGGGGTTGAAAGGTTATCATGGGTGGGTGGGAATGCAGTTATGAGGTTACAATCAGAGCAGCTGTTGTCTTATTGAATGGTGGAGCAGACTCAAGGGGCTGAATGGCCTACTCCTGCTCTTCATTCATACGTTTTTTTTGCTCTTTTGAGAAAGGACTAGATAAAGTCTATAATAATAAATAAATAAAAGAAGAACAAGTTTAAAAGAATTTTAACAAAGTGAACAAACTAAAAAAAGGTGTCAGGATCTTTTGATTGATCATTAATCTGAACTTAATAATGTTCTTGAAGCAGCTAAGAACTTGCATATCCTGAGAAAAACAGTGAAAGTTTAAATGATAGGAATAAACTTAATGATGAAAAGTAATTCTACCTTTAAAGATATAGGAAGATAGTTGAATGGCTGGCTGAGATTGCTTTTACAGTCTTGGACATTCAAAAAAACTACAGCCATGAAAGAGAATGGAGCTCAGGACTTATAACTAGATGATAGTTGTAAAGACTTTGTTAAAAGGTCAACACCCTGATAATATTAACAGATTATATTGTCATAATATAAACAATATTATTCTTGGCAGAGTTAATCTCATCATACTAAGCATACAATTTTCTAACCCAAGGAAAAGCTGTAGAACTCACTCAAAATGAGAAAGGATATTTGCTATAATGAATGATGGAAATTGAAGTCAGCAGGAATAAAATAGATGCTCATTCAGAAGAAAACTGGAGATCCTTAAAATCATGTGCCTGGACTTGACTCCAAATTGTTACATATATTTGATTGGTACAGGTTAAACATTGTAGAAAAATAAAACAAAGAACTGTAGGTACTGGAGACCTGAAATAAAAACAGAAATTGCCAGAGAAACTCAGCAGGTCTGGCAGCATCTGTAGAAAGAAAGCAGAGTTAATTTTTGAGTCTGGTCCATCTGATGAAGAATCACTGGTGTTACTCAAACCAAATATTTAATGGTGAACTGAAAAAAATACAGGAAAGAATCTTACTTGTCCTGCATATATTTAAAACGTTTTTACACATTTATATTCAGAAAGCATTGAAAACTTAATTCAATAATTTTTAATCATTTATGGGATGTTTTACAATGATGATAAGATTGTCATGTTTCAAAGCATCTCTCTAATTCAAAATAAATTGACTAATTGGTAAAAAAAAGGAGTCATATGACTTGTTGAATTTTGCCTGTGGCTTGGCTAACATGGGAGTAGAGATGGTGGGTTAAATCCAAAGTTACTAAAAGTAAGGTGCAAAAGTCTTACACCTTAAAGAAATGCAACAGTAGCTAGGGCTGATATAAGATGAACTTCCTGTCTCCAAGTTCTCAGACAGAAAGAGATGGAGAGGGAAGCATCAGATAGACCAAGGATTACAGCTAGTGTAGACAGCAGGTAGCATGTCTTTTCTGTGGACTGTCAGTTAGAATGCAGGATAAACAATTTAGTCAAAGGGATACATCTGTGGCAATCTAAGGAATCCAGAAAACTCAATCTTGCACGGCTGGAGTGAAGAATTGAAATGGGCTTTACCCACTGGTGGTTAGTTAAAAATGTTTCCGAAAGAAAAATTAACTTTTTGATACCACTTGATTTTTTGACTTTGCAAAATCAGGAGAAACAACCCAGTTGGAAGTGATGTTGGTTCCTATAAAATGTATAATTCTGTGAATGTGGGCAATGAAATATAACTGTGGTGTAGGATTTTTCTTTTAGGCATATTAGAGGTTAAATGGGGCTCTCTTCTCTGTACTTCAACATGGGGATTAGTTAGTTTGGATGGCTGGTTTGTAATGAAGAATGAGACCAGCAATGTGGGTTCAATTCCAGCACCAACTGATGTTACCATGAATGTCCCACCTTCTTAACCTCATACTTGCTTGAGGCATGTTGACCCTTAGGATAAACTAACCACCAGTTGTCTTTCTCTAACGAGAGAGCAGTCCTCTGGACTATGCCAACTTTACTTTAGTGTATTAAAAGCCTCCAAAACAGCATTTAACCAATATTGATTTTTGTTTATTAATTACAGCAGAAGTCTTAGGTCTTAAAATCTTGTCATGTAATTCCTTAGAATAAAAAAAACTCGCACTTTAAATATTTTTAAAAGTTATCTGTCTCTATGAGAATTGTAACAACATATTTTTTTCAATTTTCCTCAGTGCACTGTGTACACAGTCTGATTTTCAGTCTTGGGTATATATACATTATAGACTTTCCTTCTTAATTTTATTTTAAAATCTATTTCCTTTGCTCTCCATGGAGCTCTAGCTTTGGCTGCCCCATCTTTCCTCATTGTGGTAATATGCTTGACTGCACTTGAAACTTCACAACCTATCCTACTCATTTACTATTTCCCTGGCCAATGTTTTTTCCCAGTCCAAAGATGTTTGATCCCTTCTCAGATCACTGAAAATGGCCCTCCTCCAGTTGGATAGTTTTGCTGTTGATTTTTCTTCATCCATCACTCTAGCTACTTGAAACTCATTTACATAATGATCACTATTAACCACATCAGAGATAGTAGGAACTGCAGATGCTGGAGAATCCGAGACAACAAGGTGCAGGGCTGGATGAACACAGCAGGCCAAGCAGCATCATAGGAGCAGAGAGGCTGACGTTTCGGGCCTAGACCCTTCATCAGAAAAGAGGGAGGGGAAGGGGGTTTTGAAATAAATAGGGAGAGAGTGGGAGGCGGATAGAAGAGGGATAGAGGAGAGGATAGGTGGAGAAGAAACAAACAGGTCGAAGAGGCGGGGATGGGGCCAGGAAAGGTGAGTGTAGGTAGGGAGTTAGGAAGGGGAT